CAAATGAAGCAGCGGGTACCGTGAACTATTTTCAAGATGTATTTTTGCGTTGGGGAGATGTTAATTATATATATAACGGTTAATTATCATAATGACTGTTGTGGATATTACTGACGTTTCAGCACTGATGATGTATTTGGGTCATATTATTTGATAATAATGACAAGTCTTGTGGGCTACATTCAAATCCGGTGTCAACAGTAATGTGTAGGTCTTATTCTGTTGAAATTACGCCAGTCCAGTTCACATTACCGAAGCTCTGCAGCCCGTTCCAGATACGACCCGTGACTACTTGGAAGCACCTTTGGTGCTTCAGCAGATAGCGGAAGACCAACATATGTACGAGTTTTTACTTCTACTCAAATCGGTCAAAAATAATGACTGGTCTTTGCTTACCATATTGACCATGGCGAGCATTGTGGCCGGTGAAAGCCATTCTCGAGAGTGGACACCGCTCTGCAGCCAGATGATTGGCTTGTTGAAGCCAGGTTTACCAAGCTTTTATAGAACGGAAAAGAAAGGTGACATAGTCAGCCTTGGATACCGGTGGATTATTACTTATTTATCAAAGAGGGACGAAAGAAGGATAGATTAGGAAAACCATTCCAAATATTCCAGACATTTATCGGTACCTGGGATACGAGCTCTGGCTAGCCATGTACCTGACCCAAGCCGTTAATTGTGGAAGTCTTCGGCTGAGTTCACAACTATTTTGTATCCATACACATAACGTTGAATAAGTCACACAGAGACAAGCAATCGTCACCCTAGATCAATGGATGCTCACACTGCCTTCACTACTTCACAAATCTAAATTTATAAGTTAGATGCAGCAATGTGCAAGATTCAAGTTATCAAAATACTATCGACATAGCTCAACGGAGTCGAGGACTTTTTACACCACCACATGCAAGTTTGGTGAGTGGATAACTTTGGAACCACAGTTCACAGTCTCTTCAAATGAAGAACACGTTTACAACCTTGGAATTACATTATTTTTCATCGAAATTTTACAGTCACCGTTTGGAATTATTTCATTTGGAGAATACCCCCATTTTAGAACATCATCTGGGAAGTATTGATAGGTAAGTGTCGACATGATCAATTTGTTCCTCAAAGTTATACATATAGCTGTCACCGTGGAAAAAATTCCACATACGGACGCTGTTGGTCAGCCATATGAAAACAGTAAAATGTCCTAAACAGTCAAAATAGCAATGAAAATATTGAGGTATTCGCTTAAAAAACACAGACCAGTCTCGTACGGTTTGTGCTCAGGTTGGCAAACGCCGTCTCTATGTGGAATATTTCCATGTAATCACCTACGAATAGGAAACAGAAAACGTCCGTGCGGCAAATCGAACAGTTCAGAGAGAACGTCTAAAATGTTATGCATAACTGTTGAAATTGTGCATAACTGTTTAGAGCGTTTCTCATAGTGCTTGACGTTGTATAATAATTCAATGTCACAACTTCGATTTCTGTGTCTATCAAGTCAATGCTAAATCTGTAAGTTTTAAATTTCTAAAGAATATACAATTAACTGCATATTCTTAAAAAGAATAAACGGCTTACTGTAAATTCTTGATAGTACAGACACTTTTTTTTAATTAATAGGGTGACCTCACAAGAATCTTTTAATACTTTGAGCTGTGGCTTACGCACAACAGAGTTTGTACAAATTGATACAACAATCCCAGTTCAGGGCAGTGAACTTACATTTCTTTGTTATCTGTGAAAATTTGGCCTTGGGGTTGCAATGGCCGATAGGCTTTTGAGAAAGTTTCACGGGATCCTTTTTAAAGCTCTGAGTATTTCCCACAGTTTCTCTAGGAAAAAGTTTTCTCTTCAACAATCTTAAATTGAAAAGACACTGACATCATACCTTGAGTAGCTTGATTTCCCTTCCCTCGTACGAGTAACCTAGCAGTTCCTCTGACGCAATGCTGTTGTACTGACTGGCTATTGAGCTAACCCACTGGTTGATCTAATGAGAGAGAAGTGTGAATCAAAGTTTCATGTTGGAATTTAAATCTTATTCTCCGTGTGTTTTTTACCCTGTTGCGCAAGCTTTTTTGTAGGAAGATTAGGAACAATTATCATAAATGGGTACACAAACTTTTAAGTATAAGACACAACAAAATTGGTGGTCTGGTCGACTTCCATGCATAGCTCTGTTAGAGGAACGTTGTATTTTGAACCAACAAGCCGAGGGGCCGAGTCTATAGGTAGTCTAGTAATGTTTTTTCGTGTTGGAGAATTAGTTGGTTAGAGGATTTTTTAAAAGAGAGTAAAGCCCGAAATTTACCTCAGCATTGTAAAAAGACGCAGCATGTTGGCTCGTATTGTTCTGGACAACAAACACGACCGACTAACGACATGATTTCAAGTCTAGGGTTTGAAAGGGTAAAAGTTTCGCCGGACGTTTCTCGTACCGTGCCTTCAGTAGTTACTGTGTCTTTTAATTTTCAAAGAAAACGAAGCTTTTGCAGTAGCATTGTTAAGTCGAAAGATTGCAGATTACCTGAATGGTTCAGCACATTAATTTTTTTTCTTGCAACGCCAACAACCCTGAATAGTTTTGCAAACCAGTAAATGACAAAGTAAGCCCGGTCATCGGTACAAACGACAACGGAAAGACTCCGTATGTATTTAAGAAACTCATTCGGCGATTACAGCACTTAATGATAAATGTTCCTAATGCCAATGAAAATCCAATGTACTTTTCATTATAACTTTATTTGACGGGGAAAATTTGCATTTTGACGCAGGCAAGCTTCAACCAACCAACGGTCAAATTTCTGCAAAACTTTGGCCAACCTCGCAAACTGTGCATGGCAAGCCTTCAGCCAATCGCAGCGCACTGCGAGCTTTTCAAGGGGCGTGTCTTTACTACCTCGTCATAGGTGTGATAGACGTCATAATCAAAGGTCGCCGAGGCTGACAACTCTTGTCTTTGCATCTGCTCTTCGATCAGCTGCTCGATGTTGTCGATGAAAACTTCGGCCTGGAGGCCACGCTCACTGAGCATGCGTAGAGCCTCGTATTGGAAACTTGGTCCTACCATGAAGTCGACTGGCTTGCCGGCGTGGCGAGGCTCAGCCCAGAAATCAAGCTATTTTGAGATATAAAAAGCAAAAAATGGGTCGAGAAGTTTTAAGGTCAACTACATTTTGAAGTGACTTCATCATATGAATTATTATTTTCTTAAGAGGGCGCTACAGGCTTTAAAATCTTCACCTTGTCCTCCAACAGGTCACGGAGGAAGCCCATGGAACGAACTTCGTTGTCATCACGTGGGGTTACGCGAAACACCTTGAAACTAAGAAAAATGAGCAATCAAAGCTGCCATAAACAAAATAATAAAGAAAACTCTTTCTAGACATCTTTGGCAATAGACAAGCGATTTGATAAACGGAACTAATAAAATTCTGTCCGAAAAATGTATCCTTATAAATCGGAAACAACGAAAAATAGCAAATTCCATACAGCAGGACGAGAAGTTAGATCATGTTGAAATGGAGTAGGCAAAACTTTGAGAGAAGTCCCCCAAAGGTGTGCCGTACCAAATGAATAGTTCACACTAACAAAAATTGTTTCGCGAACTGAGCGATATTGAAAAGCAACTGTCGGGGGGTGTTTCCAGTTTGTGTCCGACGAACAAAAGACAACGACGCAATTAATTTGCAAGTCAGCTTTATTTCAGTTCATTTTTCGGGATGTACATGTACTTTACAATATAGAGTTAAATGCACAAGAAGGCAGAAAAGGCAAACACTTGACAATTTAAGGACATTAAAACCACAACAACTGAACAATGTTAAACCAGCTTCATTTTGTCATGCTTACCCATCGTAGTTTACTTTGGCAAAGCAAACCCCCACCAAAGCTACCAAAACCGCTCCCCGGAATACACCCATGGTGAACATCAGTGTGACGTGGTCAGAATGGCCAGAAGTGTTGTATTTTCTCTTTTTAATACCAGCAGGAAAACTTAAGAGGCTTAAGTAAAAGTTAACACCGATGGACTCGTGGGTTAAATGTGGAGGCCCCAAGTGGCCACATCAATTACAATTATTGTGTATGAAGATGAAGACGTAATGCTTCCAGATGATATGGGGCTAAAAAGGGGGAGAAGAGATGTACTCGTATAGTTATAGATGGATTTCATGCGGATTTTTACGGGCACATTCGGGAGTGGTTTTTATAATCGTTTTATTAAAATAACTGTCTTAATACATGAAAAAAAAGAAATCAGCTCTTGATCATTGGTGTGAATTTTTCTGGAAATGCTAGCAATTTCGCTACAGGAAGTTGTTGGTCCTTATCAGTCGCTTGAGGGCGCTGATTGTTCTCATGGGTAACGTTAACGGAGCTGCATGTAGGAGTTCGACTCGTAATCGCGGATGACCGTTTAAAAAATAGTCGGCTGCTGTGCGTGGGCTGCACTTATCGAGCAAAAAGAAACTTTGCAAAGGACATATCGAAGTTAAACACTTGATTTGAATGCTCATCCTCGAGTAATTTCGAGGGCTTTCTCATCTGAAGATGTCGCAACGATGTATGCGGCTCTGTCCTTATGTAAAGTTAGTTGCATGTGGCGCCATCTCGTTCAAACTGGTGACGTCGGATTTAAAGGTGCAAAGTGCGAATCAAGAAAGGCCAACTGTATGTATTGATGGTTGAAAAGGTGGCGTGGATGGGATGCCGTAGCATAATCGAGGGCGAAAGCTTTCCCAGCTTTGGTCATCGTTATACCTAAACTGAAATTAACCCGGATCTCATTAAATCAATCGACTTAGCCTGTATGGATTCGTACAGATTAAAATGTAAGCTGCTTACCTTGGGCTAATCGTTCGGAGGAATCGACCGGAAGGGGAAAGTGCAGCAAGTCAACCAAAATAGACAAAGCACGCACGCTGAAACACAAGTGTGACAACAATAATCATATATGGTTTTTAAGCTTCCTCCCCGTGGAGAATAAAAAATGAGTACCACACCATCCTTGTCCGAGACCAATGCGGAGACCCCAAATGTGGTTCCATACGGGGAAAGGACACACACACTGCATGGTGGTCGGCCAAATAAAGGGCACGGTGACAGTGTATCCCACCTGTGAATATAAAGTCTACTTCCCACGGTGTTGCAACTACAATTTATAGACCAATTTGCGTGGAAGGGGGCAGCACTAGGGGTTGGAATCCTGGCCTCATTTCGTGTTTGTTGCTGCTGCTGTTGGCGGTCCGGTTCGGTTTTTTGAGATGGTGGTGGATGGGTAACAAGGAAAAAAGGCACAAAACGAAGGGCGTAGTTTTTTGCTCCGCCCCATCGGGGAGTTAGGTTTAGATTGATAATGTTTTAGCTTCGGTGTGTAAGCATGCTTGCGTGAGCCGTGTCCATCCTTTTCAACAAATCAGGGATCCCCTACTTTTTTATTTGTGTGAATAATACGCTTTATTTATTTTCAAGATGTTAATTTATTTAACGAGTTTCGCCCTTACCCAATGTATATATTGATAAACACTGTATGCTCATTGCTTGTCCAAAAGGTTGTAAAAAATTCACAAGCTTACTCGAACCCACGACTTCCTACTTACTAGTGTAGACGCCTTAACCACTTGACCACCGAGATTGCTCGTATCTCCCCAACGCAAAAATACGTCTTGAAAATTTTCAAAAGCTCTTGGACAAGTACTGAGGATACAGTGTTTATCAACATATACGTTGGGTAAGGGCAAAACCCGTTATACAAATTAACGCTTCATTTACGACCACGGTTTTTTAATTTTCCATTCAAAGTCAGAAATACGAAAATAATTATGCAGCGTTTTCCGGTGGTTGCTCCGAAGTCCGTGGGAAGAAGACCAGGTGGAGCAGCTGTACTTAGTTCAGTATCAATAAGAATCACGTGATTACGATAACCAAGTTGCATGATAATGATGGCAATACTTGACTGAAGATAATTATTTGCAATAAGTAAGACTTTCAATTAGGAAACGGAGACCTGAAAATGAGACACAGTTGGGCAAAGTCACTGGAGTTACGAAGCTTTGGGTTTTATTGACCTCTGACCTGAAGTGAAAGTTACAAATACTTCCTGTTTTGCTTTATATACTGAATACACGTAGTTCTCGGAGATATACACAGAGTATTGTAAGAGGAAATGGTGTTCACATTATTCAAAGAAGTGCTGGACAGGACCTACCTAATTATCCATTGTAAATTCAAGGGATGGAGACTTGGTAGATCTAAATCAGTGAGGTGCAATATTGTGAGTGTGAACCCTTTGGTCTGTGGTATTTTTGGACGATTTCCCTAAGCACGTCGCACGCACCTTCTTACGGAAGGTAAATCCGAGGACTTGTACGCGCAAAGACAGGAGATGGCCCCGCACAACTCAGCCGCGAGAGCCACTTTGCAGAGGAGATCGTGTTAGTAAGAACGACATGGTTCGAGTTCATCAGGACCTGGCCATCGCTTTAATTGCCTAGTAGCCCTCTGGCATTCACCGCGAAAAGCCAGGGGATTTGGGTTAATCCAGCAGGATGACAGCAACTCGTCTCTCGAATAGCTTTTGTTAATGAAGTTTGTCCACGGAGATCATTTTACCGTGCTTCTTTCAACACCGCTGATGAACTGTACATTTCAACCGCGACTCGATCAAGTCCAAAGCTGATGAAGTTTAGAAGCAATATTTAGACATGCTCCTATAATCTTGGCAGTCCTGCGAAATGATGCTGAATTTGTTTGAATTCACCAAGCCCTAGCATCAGTGAATTGATAAAATTTCATGTTTCACCACCGTGTGGTCTTGAATACCCAACATTTGTTTCCTTTCGATAAACGAAGTCAGTCTGTGTACATTTGAGTTGGGGGTTCTTCAGTGAGTCAGGCACGACCATGACCAATGTCTTTATTAATGTATGGTGAAAGATTCGCGTCTCACGAATCTCACATTAGGGATACATGACTCGTCTTTAAAAACTAACCCTCTTCGTTTAATACTGTATAGTTGGTTATTGTGATGGTGCACACACCAAATAGTAATACCCAGTATACCTAGTACTATACCAACGATTGTGAAATATCTACTGAATAATGAACAGGATTCGAATATTATAGCAAAAATATTTTAATGGAGACGCTGTATTGTAAACAAAAAAACAAACAACGGTTTGTGTAACACTTCAGTACACGTAATAATTTTCACCTGGATAATAACTAACACATCAGATAAGGTCGTTTCGACAAGCTTGTACATGTATATTGCACATTACGTTTGCTTCAGCTTATTTAGAATACAAAAAGAGAGGCATCGACCTTTGTACACTGGGTGACATTTCCGAACGATCGCCCAATTAGAAATTGTGCCTGATTAATATTAGCATGTCTAAGACATATCCTTGTTGTAATTCAACAAGCACGATAGAGAAAACATCCTAAATATATATCAATGCGCTGAAAGACTAGTGGAATACTGCACTGTAATACTTAACAGTTGAAATGACGCGCCTTACCGCGCTCTCTGGGACCTGTCAACATTAACAGCGCCCTCTTTATTGTACATACGATGTAAGCAAATCTACCAGCATGACAAGACACCGCGTGTATCGGTGCATTAAAGTCTGATTTCCTTGTTTTACGTTCCCGACAATATCAAGTCTGATTTATAAACGAACTGATAATGTTTTTCGTAGAACAGTGACAAATGTAAGAGGACCAACCTTTAGACGGCAACCAGCCACACAGCCATGGCACAATCGCCCAATTCATCGTACAAACAAACATTATATCTAAGGACGAAAAATGTTTGAACATTGTAAAGAACAAAAGCAGGCCTAATCACTTTGACCATTCTAGTTGCCTAGATGTAGAATCTCTGGCTGGTTGAAAAATGAGGAACTTTGGAAGTAGGTGACTGCAAATTTTTAATATATTTCATTGAACGTTTTTAAGGATCAGAATGGCCAAAATGGCAAAATATCTGCTAGATCAACAGCACCTTTTAACTTTGGCCCAACCTTCCTTCGGGAGTCAAACCCAAGGGGACAAAACTTCACGTCAAAATCAAATAAAAACACATACAAATTACTGTCCATAAGAATGTCATTATAGGGCCAGTCAAGCGGCAAAGTGTGTTCCCTTTGAAGGACATGAGCAGCATGGATTTAATATGTATTTCCAGATCTTCACTCCGAACTGTTGGAACTTTGCCCACAAGTTCAGAGCCGTTTAGAGAGGCGACATAAGTGTCTCTATTATTGGAACCGGAATGGCAGATTATGCGTCAGTGCATCTGGACAACAGGCACACAACGGCTGCATGCTGTACTGCACACACCATAAACAGCCATTTCAATTCCAAAGTCTGAAGTTGGCTCTGCTCTCTGCTAAACAGCGCTGTCCAACGTTATTGAACAGCGTCCTCTATCGTTAAAAATTATGAACGATTTCGATTTCGCCCGTTCCAACGGCGCTTTAATTAAAAGGCACTGGGATGGGCTAACTCCGCGTTGCAACATGCATGACGTAGTACCTTCAAATCTCCACTGGTAGAATTGATTTGAACAATAATGGCACATTTTCACGTCGCTAGGCCTATACTGCCCTGCATTCATGTACATTTTAATTGGCATTCTTCACTGTAATACGCATACGGACCCTTCACGCGCCGAGAACACGTCAATGTAAAGGTGTGCGCCATGACAGGGTTCAACGCTTCCTCATACGCCACGACACGTGCGCAGAAAAGGCATGCCTGTTCGTGAAGCCATTCCGTAACCCACAAGACTTTGCGACGGGTGCACTTCCTTTACAGAATTCTATGAACGGCATTAACCGTCCTGGCAAACTGCAAAGACAGTGGGCACCAGCGAAAACTGTCTCCTCTGATCTCCTCATGTTGCATTAAACAATCATCATCTCTGACGCTCGACCCCAAGGATACCAGCCCATCTGTTTTCTGCACCAATCAATTTTCATCGCTTGACGCATACATTCTCGCACTCCGTCTGGCGCCCGCACACATAGCAGCAGCGCAGATGGAACATTTTTCAAAATGTTCCACGCGCCGTGCTAGAATGCAATGATCGTCTTCTGGGTTGAAAGGCGGTAATTCAGCCGATCATGTGAACAGCTGCACGTGTTTGGAACCGTTTTCTGACGAACACTGACTGCTTTTTCACAGGTAGTAGGACTCCACGGCATTGCAGGCCATGAGTCTACTGGAACCAAGCTGGCAATTTCCTTTTTGTAATTATGGCTATTAGTCAAATCCCATGCACATTGATTTCAATAACCGGCTTGTTCTTTAATACATACTGAAAACGGAGTGTTGTCCAACATGTGAAAAGGCAAGGATACGAGTAATTTTGCTGACGCACTCGACAGGTGTAGCGGAAAGAATAAATTGGAGAAAAAAATAGACGATTTTGAACTAACAACTTAAAGCAAAGATTTTTTTCCTTTGAAACGCACTTGAAAGGGTACGTTCACATTACAGTGGCTGTGTGAACAGATTATTTCCCTACGAGCACTCCTCAGGTTAGTGATGAATTGCTCTATTCCTTATCACTGATGGGGCTTTTGCAAAATATATGAATGCATAACTCTAATGGATATCAAAAGAGACATTTTAATGGTTCCAATTTTCCCGGCGGCCGCTTGTTTATGTCTTTAAATGTCGGCTTTATAGGTTGCGCGGATTGACTCCGCTGAAATACAGAACTCCGAGTCCCGCGCGGCAAGGGTACGGTTTCATGACCCATATTTTAACCAGTGCATGAACCAGTGATATACTGCATGCAGAGGGGAAAATGGAAGCAGAAGATACCATTCAGAAATGTTTTATAAGCTGGATTGTTTAGCCACGGGCTGAATTGAAAAAAGCGAGGCGGCTGCGTGTTAATTAAAGTCAGTGCCGTGCACTGGCATTGACAGCCGTCCTGACAACAGTACGTGCCAAAATGTAGTCTCACGTGGTTTCCCACTGAAAGGAAAAGCATTCTGAATAGGTCATCCATCTTGGCTCATAGACTATCCGTGGAATGTGCGCTGGGAAGACACGCACTTCTCAGCTGTGATGTGAGATGATGAATCTGCCGAAATTCTGACTGGGCTCATGTATTTCTGTCATCCTCCAAACAGCTTGTTTGCCATTTGTCACTTTTCTTTCGCGTAGAAGCGTTGATTAGGCGGCCTAGATCAGTTCGTCAGACGTTTCCTGTCGTAACACCTCACGCGGTACAGCGGTGCTGAGACCAAATCACCTGTTCCTCTCGAACGCCTTCCGGTTTGAAACACTACAGTATGGGTTTGCACACTCACCATGTTTCCAAAAACACCACCTGAGTTTCACTGAGGCATTTAATCCTGAACAGGGATTATGATAAAAGCCGACAAAGATGAGAATCTGAAATGTCGGCATGAAAGTCCCTTTGTCCACACGCACACTGCATTACACACGAGAAAGATACAACCGTGAAGAGGAGAGCACGGAAACTGATTTTGAAATCAAATTATGACTTCGTAGTTAGTAGACCTCGAGCGTTTCTGATAGTGTGGGATTTGCGCAGTGCGAGAAGTGACGCGAGCGGGGATTTGTTTGTTTGTTCTCGCTTGTCTTCGGGTGGTCATTTCTGTCCTCCTGATCACAACTTTTGATGCTAGCTCCTGCCGCCCTATCCATTCACAACATTTTGCGTGAAGGAAGTGAAAACGTGCCAAGGAATTGTGGGTATGCCCCCTTGAGTCCCTTCATCATGACACATAGGCCGTTTTCCAATACTCGACTTCGGCTCCGTCTCAGGCTTCAACTGTTTTCTTTTACTTCCTGACTTTGAGGTTCCAAGCACAATAGTAAGTTTGATAGTGCCACAAAACATCAAGTGAGATGCAAAAGAGCCACACATTACAGTACTTTAATTTAAATTGAACGCTTCAGGCCCACAATTGGGGATTTGATTTCCTTCACGAAGCCTGAAACGGAGACGAAGTTGAGTATTGGAAAACGGCCCTAGGCACATGTTCCGCGCGAGAGTGTAGTGCGCGCGCACTCATACTGACCCCGGGTCACGGGTCAAACAAATTCCATCTAATGAAAGCTCGAGAAAGTTAGATTGTGTATTTTTACTGCGAAGGAATATAGGTCATCAGCGACCTTATACATGTAGTATTTGAGCGGAGGAAACAATGTGAGAGACGATTTTCTGTGCAGTGCCTTACAAAGAGAACACACAGCACCGAATACAAGTATATTCGGGCTTTATACCTAACTTGGCCACTGATACGGGCTGCAATAACAGGAAAACGCTAGTTTCGTTGCTCGTATGGCCCACGGTCAGAATTACTGTCTACATAATATAATGCCTGAGTGTTTAAAGTTCCCCACAGTAGCCGTGGTTTGTATCTTTTCAGAATAGCATTATCATCATTGCAACCGGAATGTAGAAATTTCGTTAAAATCTTAGTTTCCCTATGGTCTTCAAATACAGGGTAGCTACTTGTTTCAATGTTTCTTTCGCACTCATAATTCCAACCCTGGATTATACTCCCTCGGCAGTCCTGGGCAGTCCCTGAGCTTCAGCGCCATGGAGACCGCCTTCAGAGATAGCTCCACCATCTCGCGCATCTCCTCTGTGTAGGGGTCAAAGGTCAAGGGGTTCTGCCGCTTGCCCGACCGTTTGAACTTGCCGTGGGGGCTGCTGAGCACACACATTAGTCTCTCTTCGTCCACGGGGATCTCCAGGAAGCTCACAATACCTTCAAGGACGTCGTAAAGTCTCGACTGTAAGTCCTCGTAGTAAACCACGTGAAGTTTTTTACTGTACTGGATAAAATTCACCGCCGTGTTGGCCCATGTTCGCGATTTCCCTGTGACAAAAGCAATCCACTCTGCAAGAAAAGACATAAACAGCACCACATACGTAAATCCGTTGCTGCGTAACCACACGTTACTCTTCAAGGCTTCAAATCGTCCTAATTAAAGGTCGGTCTTCTTTGATGAAAACGTGATTACAATCAGGAAGCCCATGATGAACTTTTCTTTGCATGATGTATTTGTCGAATGGTATTTACGTCAAGCAAACGACGATCAGGAAAACCTGCGGCCGACTGAAAAAGCCCGGCAACGTTTATGATACAAGAGGTGGAAATTATCGATTTTCATTTCCCGCTGTCTCACCTGTCCCCTTTGTGTACTGGGTTTCCGGTGCAAAGCCAACATGGCCGCCGAACTTCCGGTTGTGTTCGGATATGATCGCCTTGTACGGGTTCCTAATGATCAGAATGGCTTTCTGGAAGCTGCGCACGTGCTCCTCATCGAATCGATGCGTTTTAACGGCGATGGTGTTGCCACGTGTCCACTTCTCTTTTTCCCCTATGAACCCTGGGATACGTGAAATCTAGCATTACGATTGGTCAGGGTTTGATGACGCTGTTTCCCGGCATCTTTGATAAAAATGTTTCACCGCTGTGACTGGCAAACACAGCCAGTAGGCTACCAAACGTTTTTTATAAATGTTTGATGGCAAGATTCGAAACACTTAACTCGTTTAACACTGGTAAGTGAAAAAATCGAATAGGTTTCCCTTAGCAAAATGTATTTTACACTTGGGGCAAAACGTTCGATTTGTCGAAGACGTGAAAAGAATTAAGACATGTGGATTTCAGATTTACTCTTGCCCAAGTCTAACTCAAGTTTCTATTATTTCTTTCACTTATTCAGGTTTTTGAGGCTCTATACAGAGAGAGAGAGAGAGAGA